GTATGAAAGAATTTCATTGTCTTTCCAGAAGATTTATGAGAAAAATGATCGGGAAACAGTACGGAAGGCACGGGAAGCTCCTTTCAATAGGATCAGCGAGTGACTCGCAGCCACGACGATTTAAGCGCCATCTCGCGCCTGTTTTGGGAATCGTTTTTTGTTCGAGTAGCTGTCAGATGGTACGCGTGCAACCTCAACTTCGGGCTTCCATGTTTGTCCACATGTCACTGCAGCCACGAGTCGCCCGGTGAAGAGACGAATCCGAGGCTACTATGGCACAAGTGTGACTTAGCTGACCTACACACTCGCCGAAGGTGAGTCTTCTCCAACTTTGAGCCTATCATAGACCAACGCAAATTTCGACTAGGAGAGAGTGATGCTAGAAAGTGACTAATATGAAGAGTTCAGGGAGGTTGAAGGGGAAGTAACTTGAGAGAACTCGCTTGAGTAAAGTGAAAATGTCACGGAAGCGTCTTGCACGAATGACGCTGTTGAAGACGGAAAACGGAAGATGGACGATGACTTGGATGAAGAGCGTAAAACTCGTGTTATACAGGTTGGCGAATTTCCAGTTGCTTGTCAGAAAGGTGAAATTTGATGTGGATCCCGAAATTCTTTCATTTTTCTTAAGCTTTTATTTTCAGATATCGAATGTATCTAATCATTTCCTTTTTCTATTCCGTTTTCCCAAGTTCATGACAATTTAAGTCGTTTCATTTTCCAATTGGAAATGCAGTTACCAGTTTTTCGTGAACACAAATTGGGTCTGTTAATCTAAGTCGACAAAATGTTTTATGCCCGGGGCTAAGCTACTATTGATAGTTATGCCCATTTGGCAAGGGTGCACTTTTGTGCAGAGTGTCCCTTAATTCAATTTACCATTTCAAAGGCTAATATTTTTTCGACTACTGAGGTTGGTGGAATCAGCATAAATAGATGGCAGAAAATCTTGGCAAAACAAAATTTTAATTGAATGCATCTAAAAAATCAGAGTCCTCTTTTTCAAAGTAACTTTATGGGAATTTAAGATATTTTAAAGAAGTATTGCTGAGTCCTCCTTTCCCTTTTCAGTAAAATTAGGATTGCGAAGGAACAGTGAGAGAGAGTTTCTTTAAATTTCAAAATCTCCGCAGGCGAACGTTTGTATTTCCATAGGTCGCCCTCCACCGACGTCAATACATTTTGCCCAATGTTGCATACTAGAAGGCTCTCTCGAGAATTTGAAGCGGGAAGCTGGACGACGTTTGCCAAGAGCGACTTCCACCGCCGCATCGGTCTCAAAATCGGCAGCGAGGGCTGTGAACTCGCCTCCATGTGGGGGAAGAGGGAGGGGGAGGGGGCGGAAAATGTGCATGCGAAAGTTTGCATGAGGTTTCCAAGTCCTCATCACCCGTGGCAGTTCGCCTAAACATTTCATAGACCCGTCATTTTTGCAATTATAACGCAGCAACGAAGGCGACTGCGCACTTAACTGGTCGAGAAGCCAGACAAAGCTGGCAGCAGTTACTTGACTTGAATCCATCTTGACCTTGTCGCCCGCCAATTCAGGCCAGTTGCGTATGAGAGATGTGCGCCTAAACTGATTAAGAATATGACGATTATACGACTAGCATGGACTACTCGTTGAGCATCGCAGCACAACGACTGAAATTAATTTTTAAATCTCGGCCTCAGCACAGTCCAGTCGTTATTTCAGACGACTGAAACTATACGACTCCATTGCGCCGATGGGACGTGTGCATTGGATCGTAATCGGGATTTGCGTTGCAATGGGGGACTCGCGCCTGAACTGTGGCGCCACCTTCCCGGGCGATGGCTGCTTCCAGTGTTGCAGGCCGTTGCCATGTGGGCCAGGTCCTATGGATCCACAGGAGTATGAAATAAGCTTAGGCCTAGCCAGTACTAGGCCTATCGGAGGGGACAGAGAGAAGGCATCGATTAGGCCTAATGCGGCAGTCAAGTTTCAAGGCTTGGGATCCTTCCACCCATACTGACATCTTGAAGTCGATTGCTCATCGAGAATGTGCTTACCCATCTGAAGATAAATGCGTTCTATAGCAACGAGTCACGTTATTTCCTTCTTAGTAACATCTATATTGCTCCCTTTTTGTTTTCTCGAGGAAGGGATATAATCTCTTCTGAAACTATGCATGGAAGAGGCAATCACAACAGCTTTGCCAATTGCATTCCATGCATTCACCATTGGACAAGTGGTCATTTTGCTGCTTTAGTCATACTTAAGGCATATGCAAGTTGAATTTGTTACCCATTGTTCTGCTGTTACAATCAAGCAGGAAAACCTATGTGATCCCATGTTTTGGTAGCCTTTAATGAATCTAAACACCTCTGAGATACCCCCTTAGTGATATTTATCCAGCAATTCTTACATGCATTCAAATGGAAAATGTATTGAATAGCTTAAGATTGTGTTGAATTTAGTTATGGTAAAATGATAATTTTTAGTGTCAAATTTTTTCTAGCTCTCATCATTTGGATATTGCTGCTACTCCAGTGATGAAGGTGTGGTTCCTGGATCAGTAAATCCTCTGTCTGTTTCTATCATTTATGGAGCCTGGGGATGATGTACCGCTCCGAGAGTACAAGGGAATGGAATGAAGTGATGTCAAAGTCCTCATAATTGATGTGTTTTGGTATCACTATATGGATTTGTAGATATCTTTATTGCTTGCATGTTAAATGAGCCCTCCAGATTTATGAATGAGTATTTGGTGTGGACTGGCTTATTTGATTTCTAAGGCCTGAATGCTGAAACCTCATTTAGGTGAGATAAAAATTCCTCTTGATCCATTCACTGCTATGGAAAAGTTAGCACATTAAGGGGGTAATATGCATCAGTTTACCAACAAAAATGTCAATTTTTGAGATCTTTGCATTTTTAGCTTTCTGTATGTCAACTATCAGATTCAAAGGTCATTTTCTTATAATCGGTCTCATACTGGGTAAAAATGAAAAAGACTTTCTTATGGTGAACATTGTCAGTAGTCTATTGTTAATGCTGATTTTCTCAGTTTCAAGCTTTTTGTGGTGTCCATGTATGCCTCCTATGCTTTTCTTCCTAATGCCTCATAACATTTTGCTCACTTGTAGAGGTATATATGAGCTACAATCCTCTCTAATGAAATGTCATTGGGAGGTTTAGTTCCAGAGATATGGGCAAAAAAAATTTTAACCAGCAAAGTGGAGGCATTAAAAAGATTAGATGGTTGCCATGGCAACATAAGTGAATATAGGTTTGTACACCATTCCAACAGTAATGTATCCTGAAGGTTTCAAAAATGTAGAGTCAATATGGAGAGAAAAAGCCTGGTGAGGGATTGTCCATGTGGGCATAACCTAATTTTTTAACTTTCGACCTTTGACCCCTCCTGATTAGGTCATTATCTGATAATTTTAACAAGTGATTTTTGAATTCAGTTAGTACTCATCACGAGCCTTCCAGTTTGTGCAGATTAATGTGAAAATGTATTATACTTTCGATTCGATAAATTGGGTTGTCATTTTTATGTATATTGCCCCCTTAACTGCTGTGTGCTACAGGAAATTGAAAAAACGTTCAAATGTGTATTTAGATTTCTATTCAAATAATGTATATTTAAACTATAGAAATTTATAAAGTTGTGATGCATTACCATGCCAAGTTAGTGCATGATGAGTTTACATGTCATTATAAACAGTGAATGGGTTAAGATGAAGAGCTGTTTTCCTTCATAAATGCCAACAGGATTTTAACCTTTACATGCTGAGCATTTCCATATTCAAACAAAAAGGAAGATTCCATGCTGTTTGAATATGGTAACATTTTCAATTTTCCACATAAGGGCTGTGTTTAAATAAGGCAAAATTTGCATTTTTCCACTTACCTGCTCTGTTCAAATATGGAAACTTTCAGCACGTGAAGGTTAAAGGAACCTTAACTTGAGGTTTCAGCTTTTTGCCTGAAGCATTCCACTAGACTGAGGATGACACACTTTGAATGGAGTGTGAAAGGGTTTGGATGTATCATATATGGCTATGAGATGTTTACTAAAGTCAATGGATCTCAATTTTCCTTTTTTTGACTAGGAGGAATGCTGTAATCCATTCATAATTCACCCAAAATGATAGCTTTGTGACTGTAATGAGTTTCTGGGCACCATGGCATTTTGGTTCATATAGATGGAAGGAACCTAAGATGTTATCATTCTTGTAGTGAAACACTTATTAATGGCAGAAATACTGTTGCACTGATCTTGGAACTGTTACCATGTCCTTTGTTCTAGAGTGCATGAAACTACTACTACTATGCATGAGTTTGGGTTCTGAGTTTTAAACTCTATGCACTCATATAACTAGGGATATATGTATGCATGTTTGTATTAGCCTGCCTTTGCAATTTCTGTAGTCATGTTTGAGTCCTTCCACATGGAATGAAGGAAAAATGGAAAGGGGGAAGGGTGGGATAGAGAGTATAAGAGGGTTGAGATGATCCCTATTGGGGTGGTGGAGGGGTGGTGATTGTGAAGAGGCAAGATAGCTAACTTGAGTATGCAGAGTATGGCAAATCCAAGGCTTCATCTTTGCTGATACTTCATCATGAGGGCACCTTACCATAAGGTAGACAATATTGTCTGAAAGTCAAGTAGCAGTGGAGGTTGTCTTGGTGAGATTGATCTAGAAATGATGGGCAAAAGTTGAGAAAGGTTTTGGTGGGAAGGGTATCAAAGATCATTTGGATCTATGAGCACTGTGAACATTGTGTTATGATGTTGTGGGCTTGAGATGGGAGACCCTATAGTATGAAAATTGTTTTGGTTTTTCTAAGAAAGGATGAAATGGGGACTAAGAAATTAATAAAAGCAAGTTGCTGCAGGAGGACATTATTGGCATATATTTTATTGGACATATTTTTAAATGTTAATCATGGATATCAAATTGTTACCTTATAACTCAGATGATATAGTAATTTTTTTTATTAACTCATTCCAGGAGCCAGAACTAGCATGAGTTTACCAGGAGATGAGGCTGTGATTGCCACCAATGATGATGCAGCACAGTGTAAGAAGAGTGCTGTTGACCTAGGTTATTGGGTTGATCCTTTCCTGGGCTCTTTGGTGAGGCACACCAGCCGGAAACTTCCAGAAATCAACCGTGGTTATTATGCCCGTGTGGCTGGAATAGAAACTCTCATCAAGAAGTTCATTGACAAGTTCAATGGAAAGTGCCAACTGGTGAACATTGGTGCTGGATTTGATACCTTATACTGGAGGCTACAGACTTCAGGTCATAAGGTGAACAATTATATTGAAGTGGACTTGCCAACAGTGACCAGTCGGAAGATATCCCTGCTGAAGAAGGTGAAGGAACTTCACCATACAGAATTTGTCACTCCTGGTTCTTTCACTTGTGACATGCATGCCAAAGACTTTCACATCATTGGTGCTGACATCAGGAAGGTGCATGATGTCCAAATCAAGATGGATGCATGCAACATTGACACTTCCATCCCAACTCTTTTCATTGCAGAATGTGTTCTGGTATATCTGTCTATCAAGGACAGTACAGAGTTCCTCAAATGGATAGCATCTACCTTCAAGTGTGCATTTTTCATAAACTATGAGCAAGTGAATTTGTCAGACACATTTGGAGAAATGATGATAAGAAATCTTCATGATAGAGGCTGTGCTCTTGCAGGAGCAGATGCATGCATGTCCCTTGATGCACAAAAACACAGGTTTCTTGAAAGTGGCTGGGATGGTGCTGAAGGTTGGGATATGCAGACAGTATATGCTAATCTTCTACCAAAAAAGGAGATTGATCGCATTGAAAAGATAGAGTTTCTTGATGAAAAAGAACTATTGGTTCAGTTGCTCACCCACTATTGTATCAGTGTTGCATGGCTTGACAAACTGAATGTGGATTTTAGTTGCATTCGCTTCTGAAACAATCATTAATGTATGGCTGTGAAGCTGTCCTGTTCCTGTTTTGTGCTTCAAATTTTTTTTTTTTTTTTTACTGTGAGGAAGTAAATCTTCCTGAAGTTGAAACTTGTTTCTTCAGTTTGTCCCATTCATCCAAATATACCTTCTACAGTATGCCTATGTCTAAAGATTGTTTTTATTAGTGAAATTCATTGTAATTTTCTGTCAATAGCATTATCACACTGGTAAAAAGACCCTTGCAATTTTATTCCAATTTGCATTCCTCAACTCATCTGTGTTCATACCAAAGTGTTTTGAACAGAGTTTTTTGTTTGAGAAAAAATCAGTTAAAATGGAAGTAAAGTAGAGGTGTAACATGATTGAAATTAGGTTTATTTTTGATATGCCAATATGAGTCTGAGGATTTTCTTATTGTAACTGTATTCTGTGTACTGATACTAGTCTGGGAGAGAACTTGTTCCTGAAGAAAATATTTAAAAGTGCACAATGGTTAATTTCAAAGCAAGCATTTAAAAGTATTCATTTCCTCTGAAAGACCTGACAAGACTACATTTTTTTGCAAGTTGCTGACATTTAGGAGTCAACTGCAATTAAAATACCAGCATATTGGCTTGTCAAATCTAACCAATACCAATATCCACCTGCAGCAATACCATCAGCTGACATCTTATATGTGTGTTTTGTTATATTGTTACACCTCTAATATTAATGCTAAAGAACAAGAAAGCCTGAACTAAAAGCTGATACCTTACAAGCTCATTAGAAATGAGAGAGAAAATGGGTACATAGCATCCTGAAATGCCTTTTGATGAGTCAGAGAGAAGTTATGGACTCATTTGTTTTAAGACACTGATTGCCTGTTTTGGGTTTGATCAAATCTCTTGTTTTGTGTACTTGCAATAACTTAGGATATACTGGCACTGGTTTTTAGCTTAGCTGTTGTAGTTGAAGATTTATTATGATGTAAAAATACATATTTTCATTGTGTGCCATCATTAACTACTTGGAGGTTGAATACTCTTTATACTACACTGAAGTCTCAAGAGTAGGAAGGTACTGGCAACAGTTGTTGACATCATCCAATGAAGAATGCCAAGTTCTACTACTGGGCAAAAATCCTGTAAAAATTTTGCTTAAATTCTACTTCCTCAGTATCATACATTAGTAATAGGTCACATATGCTACACCATGTATGGTTTTCCATTGTCTGCTCTGTGCAGACTTACCCAAAACTGTATCAAATGTGGCATTATTTCTGTGAAATTAGTTTGATCTAGGGCTTCAAAGTAAAGAAAACAATGGCTTGGATTTTGTTACATGCCTTTCATATTCTAGCCATTTGTTTGGTTTATGGCATTAGTTATTTTCCCTGTTTTGGTTACTGTTGATAATTGATTATAAATTTATTGATGTATTGAAAGTTGACTTGAATAGATGCTTTCTCTAGAGCTTAGAGAGCCTTGTTACAAACTTGCCTTGTTACAAAAGAAAGTCTCTATGGAAGGTACACATGCATTTTTTGTGTACATGATTAAATTAACACATGTGCCACTGAGCATTGAATATGCCTGACATCCAGCATATATCTGTGTTGCCCTAATAACAAATGTGCTAAGGATGACAGAAGTTGTTGAGACCAATGGAGAAGATGTTTCACGTAAGCTATTAACCCTTTAACTATGTAATATTTTTCTGCTAACCCTTCTACTGTTTTTTTTTTTTTCAAAGACTGGCTGTGTAGGGTGTAATATCTGCTTTCTAATACCTATGCAAACAAGAGGTTAAGCATATGTATGCTTTGGAAATGGAGGTCCATTATCAGCTTCAGGAGCATGGACATGGACATTCATGGTCATAGACTTGTGACTCTTACATGGCTATGTAACAATATGTGAACATACAAAGTAAAGTCTCTTTTAATGTATTTTTTACAAGCAAAGTTTTTAAATAAAAAATGTTTAAAGGAATATGTGAAACTGCAAAGCAATGGAAAAAACTGGAAAGCAAAATTGCTCTATAAAAATGTCACATTTTCTTTTTCTTTCATGTAGTTTTTGAAAGAATACTCTGCCTGATAGCTTGAATGTGTTGGCACTTTGATGTTTAGAAGGTCAACTACTGATCCCCTCCTTCCATATCTGTGTCTATTGCTTTGCGTATTCATTGGAAAACTTGAGATGGTTTCCAAGTGAAGATGCAGGGAACTGAAGAGGTTCTTTAAAGTGGGGTGACTTGAAATAGAATTTGACTTGCAAGTTGTTGCTGCTGGAAGTGAAATTATCCATCTCTCAGCCAAATGAATTTCTTCCTCTTCACATTGGAAAATATTAATGAAGTTACAGGAAAAATAATTTCTCTGGCAGTAGTATCACTTTTCCAGTCAAAATCCGTTCCACACTAGGTACTGCTTGCAATAAGGGGTAGCTTTGAAATTTGCACAGAGAAGATAAGGTATTCTAGAGGTTTTATTTTTTCCCCTGTTAAAGATACCAGTCCAGAGAAGAATCCTAGAGATGATGAAAATGTATGAAATGGTGTGATACATAACTTATTTAAAAAGTTATTAGTTATGGTATATTAATGGGTAGAATATGGCCATCAGTAAATTATTGGTTATATGTCAGCATCAGAATTACTGATGCATTTGCAATCCTACCTGTAGACTGTCAGATCATGATTTTGCTCTTGGGTAGGTTGCTGAATTTGCTTCGTGAGTGTTGAAAAAATTATTTTCTTGGTTCTGAGCTTAAATTAGGTTTGGCTTCTGATGTCATTATATGGTGGTGACTTTCAATTATTGCATGTATTGCAGATTGAAGTTGTCTCATGAGGCATGTGCTGTCTTGGATCTATGTACTAGTCAAAAGCTTATGTCAATCCAAATAAGGGCTTGATCATACCAACAACTTGTGGAAGCCAGGTGGCACTTGCCACAAGAACCTGTTATCTGCATGCAACTTGAAAGTTCTATTCATTTTAAGTTGTGGCTTTTCCATGAAACATCATGAAATAAAACTGCTTTCACATATCCAGATCCAGGCCAATGTTAGTGCCCACCATTCAGCTGCAAGTAGTTTTGAGAAATCTGGAATACATTCATCCAATTTTGAGAAAACCAAATCCTTGCCAATTTCAGTTGTTACCCGGTTTTTTTTTTGTTGTTGCTACAAATCTCTAGAGGTTTTATTGCTCTAATGACATAGGATGACATAGGATAACCAGGATGAGCAAAATTAATCTAAATTATCTCTTTATTACATACATGTGAACTTTGGAATAGGTTGATTTGTTGGTAGGCTTTTTTTTTATCTTGTTCAGAAACCTTCAATTATCTTATTCTTGAACCAAGAGACTAACTTAGTAGTGGGAACAATTATTTCATGAGGGATAATGCAGATTTACTCAAGAAAATTTGAAGATGACTGGAGTATTGTATATGCTAAAACAAATCATGTTATCATGCTGCTCATCAGCCAGAATAGTTGGGGGAGGGGGGAGAGGAAATATTCGCCCCTTAGATGGTCTTAACATGTATATACACCTTGGTGTTTATGACAGACTTACACACCTGCAACTACACCTGTTGCTCATCACTGATAACACCTAAGGGAAAAGAGGAGCAATTGAAAATAATCTCTTTAAAAGTTATGCACAGAAGCATATACTTATGTGCGAAATTAAATAAGGCTCCCAGATCTTACTTTTTTTCCTGTTTTTTTTTTCTTAAGATTGTTCTTGGAGTGCTTTATTTATGTTTTTGTTATGTTTTTGGAAATTCCCATGATAACATAGGTCTCATTGGACAGGTGTCAAGTTTTTCTTTTTCTCTTAATATTTGCTGTTCCTGATTGTATCAAGAAAAAAAGTTTTTTTTTTATGTGATAAAACAAAATCATCCAAGAGGAATATTTGATTTAGCCTACCTTGAAGGGTTTACATTTCTCAATTTTTGCTAATCACTTCTGACTTTCCCTTTTCACAAAATTAAAAAATTGAATACCCAATCACACCAGAATAGTAGGGCGGAAGTTAATGAATTATTATTTTTTAAATTTTAGATAAAGGGCTCAAAAACTGTCTTTTCATAATTACTGAGTCCCATGGTTTACCTTAGTTACATTCGTTGTCCACCCACATCCTCTTACTTCAAAAGTCCTTATTCAGAATCACGCCTACTCTACGGCCCCTCTGCCTCTCCGCCCTCCCATCCCGTGAGAAATAGTTTTGATGCGTCATTTTATAGCTTCGTTACGTTCAGTAGTGGTCTGCCTATTCTGTTGATATATTATTCAACATGACGCCCCTCACGTCATGGGAGCCGCTCATGGATTATGATCATAAAGGCGAAAATTTATTTTTAAAATCTCAAGAAAAAAAGCGTAGTAATTATATTAAGCTATCTTGCATTCTCTTTCTCCCCACCCCGCCAGTTACGACACGTCATAATGGGCGGATACACTTCCTAACGTCTCTATCAAACCTTGCTTTGCCTTGCTTGTTACAGGGGTGACGTCTCTTTCCTCGACGCTCTGGCGGTGCAATGAGGAAACATTCTAGTGCAGAATGCGCGTATTCATCCCTGCTTTATCATTCTCCATTATAAAAGATATAATACGCGTTCGTCTCCGTCGTCTCTAATAAGGCAAACTATGTCATCTTGACTGGTTATGGCAATAACTCATTTTCGAATATAGGTTTGAACATCTATACAACGTGGATATAGGTGAAACTTACTTCTATATGCTATAGCTAGCTTATGCACTTATAAAATTTCCAGGTTCTTTGAGGTTATACCTTCTGGGATATTTTCACACGTATTTGAGACCTTTAAATGTGCAATGATGATCAGCTAATATCTGAGAGTGCATTCCTTGAGGGGCTGATTGCTGAAATTTGATGCTTTGATGATCATGAGCCTTTCGCTCCAGATACATCACTCACTTCGATAGGAATGCATTGTCTTGCAGATACGGATGCTTTGAAATTTTTCTCATTGATTC